AAACTGGAACTAAAATTATTATATTTCATTATATACTTCCCTAATTTTAAATATTCCATTTTCATTCTCCTTCCAACTTCTTTAATATTTAGTGATGAAAATTAGTTCATAATTTGTTCATGATGCTTGAAAAAAGATGAGTACTTTTACGCAAAATAATTTGTTAAAGCAAAACAGAACTCGTTTGATTTTACTTCCAGAATTCATTTAACGTTCCTTTTTTCAATTAACTATTTAAGCTCGAGAACACGTCGTGCAGCTAATAAGGGCAGATACTGTTAACATTTATTATTTATCATACAATTTCCGTTAATGGGACTAATTAAAAGCAATAAAACGGTAAAAATTAACAGCTCTATTTATGTTTTGATCACAGTGTTATTAATTTTTACTTCCTTGTACGAAGTAAAAAGGAAGTATTGTAATCGCGAAAAGTTTCAGGCAGCATATTTCAACGAAAATATCCATTTTGACTGCTATCGAATGCAATTTAACGATGTTTTTGCGTGATATCTGTACGTAAGGACAGAATAAAAGCCTCGATTTCTCCAAAAAAAATTATAAAACTGCTTTAAAATTAATTCTGAAGAGAATTTTTCGTGGCGTCCGTACGTACGTACGTATCTCGCATAATTCAAAAACGAGTAGCCTCAGAACGTTGAAATTTATATAGGACTGCTATAACATGTAGATGTGCGCCTCGTATTTTGGTTGCAATCGGCAGCAGCAAACGTATATAAATATATTTACATAATATATATCCAATCTGTTACCCGGCTCAGTGATCTCAGTTTCTTTGCTCTTATATGTTTGTAAATTGTACATTTTTGGCTTTAAAAATGATTGAATTATGTTGTTTTTATCTTTCGGTTAAGGATTTTATGCCTTTAGTAAATCGGTGTGCAATATTTTTAGAATTATCAGCAATTTTAGTTTGTTAGTTGTTTAATTGCCGCTAAGCCTTTTTTTAATGGCGGCCGTTGATGTTTACATTTGAAACAGGAGACTAGTGAATTTGTTGCCAATCTAGAGAAACTTAGCTTCGCAACAACAAAGATAACGCATTCATTTATTATTGCCTATTAAATAATACTTAATCCTTTCTGCAATTTTTTTGAGGAAATAAAGTGTTTAAGATTTACTTCGTAATTTTTAATATAGATATTTTGAGTTTTTATGTATTTTTGCCTTCTCGCGAAGTGAGAACTGAATTATTTGAATGAGAAATACTCAATCGTCTGTGAAAACTGTTTTTTTTTTTTTTTTTTTTTTTTTTTTTTTTTTTTTTTTTTTTTTGTTTGTTTGTTTGCTTAATTTCTTTCATACATCATTCTAGCTTTATTATAATATTTGAATAGAACATGTGGCAACGATTAGATAATTCTATTCTTTAAATGATATAAATTTTGTGCATTATGAGTTATAATATGAACGAAATATAATACTGTTTAGTGAATCTAGCGCCAGAGTGTCGCTTTGGTAAACGAATACTAGAGTGAATTTTAAAGAATGCACTTATTCTATTGTGGTTTATGCGCTGTCGGCGAAGTAGATTTAATTCAATCCAATATGTTTAAATGAAATACAAGAAAAAAAATGTGTACAATTTAATATTCCGTACAAGGAAGTCATGTGGTGTACACATCAGATTTTTAGGTTTTTTTTATAAATGTTGTATAAAGTTTAGTATGATAAAACATAAAACAATCCTTCTTTATCGTTTTACAATGTATTGCTTTAACATTTTTGTGCTAAAAATTTTTAACCTTCACTAAATGTTAAAACGTAAAATAAAATGTAATTCCAACAAAAACTACAAACACGAAGATGGGAAACGCTGAGCTCTGAATTCCTTTTAAATTAATAATATATTTTCTAAATTGGCAACATAAAAAATACGAGAAAGGAAGTTCCGAAACTGAATACGTTTTATACATTTCGACCAGCTTAAAACGATCCCTCATTTTTTACTCTTTCTAAAAAGCATTTCTGATTTCTCATTTTTTCCTCTTCAGAAATTTCTGCATATACAAGCAACAACTTTACTTTTGCACATTTGGCTAATCTTTGGAATATGGTAACAGGTAGTTTGGCGACATTTTGGTAAAGCGATAAATGTTACTAGCTAGGACTTTAGCAGTGTACATGGATAAAGTCAAGAGTGTGCGCAATGCCATTTTTGTGCAATTCTGAGATGTTTTTTTAAGTGAAAATAGGTCGACGTGTACATGGATGATACCGTGTATGTGCAATTCTTAAAAACGCGGCAAGCAGTGGACGATTCTGCACTTTCTCCCAATTTCGCACCTAATCTTCGTCATGATTAAGTATTTTTGTTCCATAAAAGTTCTAGCATAAGCGTAATTCGGCAAGTAGATTGTTAAAAAAAAATGTTGAGTAAAAAAAAAAAAAAAAAAAAAAAAAAAAAAAAAAAAAAAAAACATGCTTTTATTTCGTGAAAACAAAATGGCGTCAAAAAAAAAACTAGCAGGTTGCTGTAGCAGGGTTGGTCGCCAAATTTATGTTAAAAAATCGCCAAGTTACCATAATCCGAAGATTAACCGCACATTTTTTACTTATTACTACACTTTTATGTTTTTTCAAATTTGACAGATCGAAAACATGAATATTAAAACTCTTTATTAAACACCAGTAATTTAATGTTTTTACTGTTAAATCTGTATTCCACAATAATTCCGATTTAATATCTTGAATTATTATCCCAAAGAAACAATTTACCCAGAAGGGCTGTTAATTTCGTTTTGGCATTTTGCGTCGTTCACTAAAAAGAGGCGTTTCACTTTTCAAATTGTTGCCACCAAATATTAAAGCCCCGCATTATATTTAAATGAATTAAATAATGAAGAATTTGCATGAATGTATGTATGTTTCTCGCACTGTGAAAAAACAACGATACATAGAAACATGACATCAAATTTTGAATAGCGTAATCCGCCACTCGAATATGGGAATCTGGAAGCCTAAATTTGGAGTCTGGAATTTTTTTTTTATTGTTTATTTCATATTTTGTAAAACTTTAACGAATTTTTGATTAACAGACTCAACAATTTTAAAGCGAGTAATGACAACATTGTGCGGAAAAAAACATTTTTATCTCCAGCGCTCGAGTCTGTGTATCATAAATTCTTTTTAAATATTTTGTGATATTAATGTTGAAATGAATTTTATAGTTTAAGTGCGAAGAAAATGATATTTAATAAATAAAGGTAACACACAATATATTAAAAAAACGCCCCTTCGGGCGTAATATAAAATCTGAAAGCTTTCAGATTTTATTTATTTTATAATTATTTTTATTTAGAGATTATCTGAAAACTGAATAATAATTTAAGGCGTACTCCATATAAAGGGTTTCTTCGTAATTTAAACAGCTTCTCTGCTAAGCATTTCTCTATTTTAAAGCATTAACCGTTACATTGCCAGATATACTTCACTTTACTTCTCACGTCAATTAGCTCTTATTTAGGTTACCTATCTTTACGCTACTTTATTCAAGTAATGAAGTAAACTGTAATCTCGACAGATATAAATAAAATTAACCTGAGAATTAAAAACCGAAAAAAAAATATTTAAAAAAAAAACTGACTTTAGTTACGTATTTTTGACGTCTTATTCATCTTGCCTTGAAGGTTGTTTGTTTTTAATTAAGTCTTTTTTCCTTCGCTCGCCTCTGAGAAGATTTGCTTCACGTAATCCTCCATATAATTAGCATAAAAGAGGAATTTGCCGTGCTCATCTCCATCTGAAAGAGGGTTCATAAAGAAATTAACTTTTATTCCTCGACACGTGACAGCTTAATGATTAAATTCGCGAAAAAAAAATGTGCCTCATCAGCATCTCTAATGAAACGTTCGGAGGATTATTTTTTTAAAAAAAGTATATATATTTAAAAAGAACTTTTATTTCTTTTCGTCCATCTTCATGTATATCTTACTTGCAATTATGAAATATTTTGAAGTCTGTGCTTTCAACGGTCGCACCTCTTCTCAATACAAAATCAGCAACCAAAGAAAACTGTCATTTACAAAATATTTAGTATTTAAAACAAAAAGTAGTTTAAAAATGTATCAACTCGCTGAAGTAAAACAGCTATCATTTTTAAATCTTTGTAAGGAAAATTGGGTACTCGTATGCTAGCTCATTCTCGCCAACCAAATCGCCAAACGTACTACCGCTGACTCTATAATTCCAGCGAGAAAATAGCAACCCTAGAAGCTGTTTCGTGTTCTTCTAGAAAGGCTTTTTTCCGGCTAAGGGAAAATGGAAATTTTTTTTTTTTTTAAATTTTTATTTTAACGTTAAATAAAAACCGATTACAATAAGCACATATCTGCATTATGTCATTTTTGGTAAACATCAGGAAAATATAGGTACAGGGACATACCAGAAAAATAATTGTTTTTTCTAATGTTAACTTTTATCGTGTTGTGTGTGCGTTATTCATTTACTACATTTGAATAGAAATGATGTAAAAATTCAATCCATTATATCTAACAAATAATAATTTATCAAAAATTGCTGGATATTCTATTTATTACTCGATGAAACAGTGCATGAAGGATAACATGTTAAAAAAATCTGAAGTGTACACCACATGACTTCCTTGTACGGAATATTAAATTATACGCATTTTTTCTTGCATTTCATTTAAACTTATTGGATTGAATTAAATCTACTTCGCCGACAGCGCATTAACCACAATAGAATAAATGCATTCTTTAAAATTCACTCTAGTATTTGTTTACCATAGAGACACTATGATTCACTTAAAAGTATTAATAATTATATAAAGTTAACTTTATAAGGTATTTCTCCCGCCTTCCTAGCGTGCCTTCGTGGTGTAGTGGTTCTGCACACTAAGCCGGTATTCGAGAGGTCCGTGGTTCGATTCCCGGCGAAGGCGATTGCTCATTTTTCATCTTGCCTGCTTTCAAAAAAAATACCTAGCTTCCTAAACTAATAATGCAATTTTTTCACAGGTCAGCAAGCTGAATTGAAATCTCTGTCCGTACGTGAATTGCTTCCAATAACAGACTCCTACATGACGTACGATGGATCGACAACAATGCCTGGTTGTCATGAGACTGTCACATGGATTGTCATGAACAAACCCATCTACATAACCAAACAGCAAGTAAGTCTTAAAAAGTGCTCCCTAGGTAACAGAAGTTTACTTTTAGTCTATATCGGATCTATGCGAATATCTATTCCTGGACTGCGTTTAAAAGAATCCGAAAATTTTTTGAATTTGCATAATCTATTTTATTACTTAAAGTTCAAGCGATAGCATAAAAGGTGGATATATTTTCATTTAAGCAGGAAAATACTATAAAGCCTACTATGAAGTCCTCCTGTGACATATACTACGAAAACCAATTACAGAATTTTCTCATATACCATTTTATAGCGTCCATGGATTCCTTATTTAAAGTTACTGCTATAACACCTACTACTACACCTACAATAAAAAACCATGCTTTAAATTTTTTTCATAAATAATTCCAAAATCTACTCGCAAATCATTCTGTAGCGTACATGGAATTCCGTATATACTATCACTACTATGACACCTACTACTACACCTATTTACGACAACTATGAAACCAATACTCCAAATTTTTATTGTAAACAAGTACAGAGCTTACTAATAAATGATTTTACAGTGGAATCCGTATTTACTATGACTACTATGACACCTACTACTACGTTGGTTATGATACCTATTACTAAACCTAGTATGAAAGCCATACTATTAATTTTTATCGAAAATAGTTCCAGAATTTTCTCATAAATCATTCTAATACCAACACGGATTTCGTACTCACTACTACTACTTAGACACCTAATACTACACGTTTTATGACACCTACTATTACATCTACTATGGAACCGTACTTTTAGCTTTTATCGTAAACAGTTCCAGAATTTACTCATAAATCATTCCATGGCGTTCATTGAGTCCGCATGTACAATTACTACTATGACACCTATGACTACTACTATGACTCAATACGTCTATTGTGACACCTAATACTACACCTATTATTGCACCTACTACTAAACCTGCTATGAAAACCATGCTTCAAATTTGTATCGTAAATAATTCCAGAATTTACTCATTAGTCATTCTATAGCGTACATGGATTCCGAATATACCGTTACTACTATTACACCTTCTACTACGTTGGTTATGATACCTACTACTACACCGAGCGCGAAAGCCATACTATTACTTTTTATCGAAAAGAGTTCCAAAATTTTCTCATAAATTATTCTATTGCCAACACGGATTCCGTACTTACTACTACTACTATGACACCTAATACTACACGTTTTATGACACCTACCATTACACCTACTATGAAACCGTACTTTTAGCTTTCATCGTAAACATTTCCAGAACTTACTCCTAAATCATTCCATGGCGTAGATGGAGTCCGCATGTACAATTTCTACTATGACACCTATGACTACTACTACGTCACCTATGACTACTACTATGACACCTATGGCTACTACTATGACACACTACGTCTATTGTGACACCTGCTACTACTACACCTATTATTGCACCTACTACTACACCTGCTATGAAAATCATGCTTTAAATTTGTATCGTAAATAATTCCAGAATTTACTCATTAGTCATTCTATAGCGTACATGGATTCCGAATATACCTTTACTACTATTACACCCACTACTACGTTGGTTATGATACCTACTACTACACCTAGCGCGAAAGCCATGCTATTAATTTTTATCGAAAAGAGTTCCAAAATTTTCTCATAAATTATTCTATTGCCAACAGGGATTCCGTACTTACTAGTACTACTATGACACCTAATACTACACGTTTTAATGACAGCTACCATTACACCTACTATGAAACCGTGCTTTTAGTTTTCATCGTAAACAGTTCCAGAACTTACTCCTAAATCATTCCATGGCGTAGATGGAGTCCGCATGTACAATTTCTACTATGACACCTATGACTACTACTATGTCACCTATGACTACTACTACGACACCTATGACTACTACTATGACACATTCCGTCTATTGTTGACACCTGCTACTACTACATCTATTATTGCACCTACTACTACACCTGCTATGAAAACCATGCTTTAAATTTGTATCGTAAATAATTCCAGAATTTACTCATTAGTCATTCTATAGCGTACATGGATTCTGAATACACTTGTGTGCAAAAATTAAGGACGAGGTCGAAAAATTAGCATATCAGCTGAACGAAGAGGCAGAGCGGACAGAAAGACCAATCAGGAGATTAAGTAAGGTGATGTACGGTAGCACATGCGCAGATATGCAGGTAGACGTAATGGGGGAGTGTGTGAGTAGTATAAAGCATGTTGTCGGTGTAAGATCAGTATTTCTGGCAAAGAGATTGCACGCCGTATAGCAGTTAAAATCACACCGAGTTGCTGCCTTAGCGAGAAATGGCGAATAATCAATTTCTTAGACGACATCTGGATGCTTTTGCCCGAGGTCGAATCATTGGGAAGTTGGGGGAAGGCCGCAGTGTGACAAGTGCGGCTGCAGAGTTCGGAATTGCTCACAGCATCGTTTCACGACTTTGGAGACAATTTCAAACTACAGGACAGCTATCCGGGTGTTTAGTAGTAGTCGTCCACGAGGAACCACGCCCGCATATGACCGGTATATTACACGCCAGAAGAAACAGGCGGCAGACAGCGGGAGAAATCGCTAGACACACGACACAGGCGACTGGACAACCGATATCGCGTTTTACCGTGGCCAGAAGACTGCACGGTGGTGGTCTGTTTGCACGACGCCCTGTACAGTGTGTACCTCTAACGCCTGCCCATCGGAGAAGGCGTTCTCTGTGGTGCCGGGAACACCGGAATTGGAGAGACAATGAATGGGGACGAGTACTATTTACAGATGAGAGCAGATTCAGTCTGAGTAGCGATTCTCATCGCATACTCATCTGGAGAGAGCGGGGAAGCCGCAATCATCCCTCGAACATCATTGAAAGGGACAGGTATGGAGGTGGCGGTGTTCTCGTTTGGGGAGGCATCATGCTTGGTAGTCGTACAGACCTTCACATCTTCGACGGAGGTTCAGTCAACGGGACCCGTTATTGTAACGAGATTCTTCTTCCATATGTGCGTCTTTTTAGAGGCGCTATGGGTCCGCAGTTCGTTTTCATGGACGACAATGCACCATGTCATCGCACAGTAGCTGCCGAACAGCTCCTAGAGAGTGAGGATATTGAACGTATGGATTGGCCGGCACGATCTCCGGATCTCAATCCCATCGAGCATGTATGGGATTTTCTAGGCAGACGCTTGGCAGCTCGTACCTTACCACCAGTAACGATTCCAGAGCTTCGATTGGCGCTGCAAGACGAATGGGAAGCAACGCCTCAACAACTCATTGACACCCTCATTCTCAGCATGGGCAGACGCTGTGAAACCTGCCTAGCAGTCAGGGGAGATCATATCCCCTATTAAAGACCGGATGTTTCTTGCTGGACACCCATCTCAGGGATCTTTTGGCCTTCAGTCGCATTGCGCTCCATGCTACTTTTTTAATGAAACTTCTTTTTATCCCTCTGATTTCTCTTTTAGTAAGTGTTGCTTACATTACTCATGTCCTTACGTATTGGGCATCTTACGGTATTAAATGTGTTGATTTAGAAAGCTTTTGTACAAAGTTATATTGAAAAAACCATCTCGTCCTTAATTTTTGCACACCAGTGTATACCGTGTCTACTATGACACCTACTACTACACCTTTTATAGCCCCTATTAACCGCACTTAATCTGAAAACCATAGTTTAAATTTTTATCGTAAATAATTCCAGAATTTACTTATATATTAATCTATAATGTACATGAATTTCTTATTTTTTGTTACTAATATCACACCCAGTACTATACCTGTTATGACACCTACCGTTACACTTACTATGAAAATCACACTCTAAATTCGTATTGCAAATAATTACATAATTTACTAATATGTAATTCAATAGTATACATGGGATTCCGTATTTACTGTTACTGCTATGACATCTACTACTACATCGATTATATTACCTACTACTACACCTACTCTAAAAAACCTACCAAAGATACATGAGTAAATTCTAGAATTATTTACCAAAATTTTATCATAAATAATTCTAGAATTTACTCATGTATCATTCTATGGCATACATGGATTTCTTATGTATCATTACCAGTGTGATACCTACTATTATATCAAGTACGATACCTACTACGACACTCACTATGATAATCATACTCTAAAAAAAATTTTATCGTAAACGATTCTATAATTTACTATCCTTCTATAGCCTACATGGGTTCCGTATTTACTATTACTACCATGACACTTAATACTACATCTATTATGACACCTAACCATTACGTCTATTTTGAAAATCATTCTTTAAATTTTTATCCTAAACAATTCCAGAATTTATTCATTATGTCATTGTATAGTGCACATGGATTTCGTATTTACTATTTTCTTCGAAATAGCCAACGCCGAACTTCTTAAGCGAATTTGTCGTTAAGGAACATAAATATATTTTAGACGTCACAAAAGACATTTTAATCCAAAACCACGTGCAAAATTCTTCAAATTTTAAAACTTAGTTCTTTTTAAACAGGATATTTATCGAACATTGCTTTCATTTCCTTAAACATTTTTTTATAAATGGATATTTCTTTTTAAAAAATTCTGACATATTTATATATTGTTTAAATTATGAAAATGTATATACATATTATAAATAGAATCCGGTGTGTTTAGAAACATTTTTTTCAAATAAGTAATGCAAATATTTACTTAAATATTATTTTTTAGCGAGGCATGTTAAATTACTTCTTTTTGCTTAGTGTATCAGTAACTTATTTAAATACGTTGGGAAAATCATACATTTTTACATTTCAAAGTAGTCTCCAAAGTGTATATTATTTTCGTTTCAATTTACTCTTATCTTTTCTTTAAAAATCCTTGTCTCCTCTTTTACTTATACCCATCACCATTTTTTGTTGTGAAATTGAGTTCCAATCACTTTTCGCTTTTTGTTTCTATTTTAAAGAGAGATTAATTTCTTTAACTTGCTCTAAAATCTCCTTCCATTTACATTCGTTGAAAAATACATTTTGAAACACTTCTTTGTAATGTGTCGAAATAATAGAAATTCCATTTCAATTATTATTTTTATTATATTCCAGCAAAATTTGATTTTCTAAAATTGCTTTATGTGCTATCTGTATTTGTTTTTGAAGTAAGTAAGACTAGTAAAAATTTAATAAAACTTTAAAACTTCCCTTAAGAATCGTTATATTAAAATCCTTTTGCAGGTTTTCTTATATGTCAATATGCTAAGCAGTTCATTTAAAAATTTCATTTAGATAACAATTTATTGAATTTATCTACAGGGGAATCTGAAAAAGTGGATAAAACTTAAGGGGGGTTTATAAGGCAGCTAATTAAAGAATTAGCACAAGAATGAGAGGAGATATTTCAGATAGAATTTTATTAACATGCCCATATAAATTGCTCAAAAGACCTTCCGAAGTTAATGCTAGGTTTCACATCTGCGCGATAGGGGGGGGGGGATTGACGCTCATTTGCAAGGAAACCAGTCATTTTCCAAATATCGCCGGCAGCAACAGCGATCCTGGCGGCTATATCCATATTGGCTTCAATGGGGCACTCCTAGATTAGGCTTTTCATATGGTTCCACAGGAGGAAATCCAAACGCGAAAGATCCGGAGATCTTGGTAGCCAAGCCAGGGGACCACCTCGACCAATCCATCGCCCTGGAAATTCCGTCGTTCGTATAATGAGCAATCCTCTTGGCAATCCACAATAGAAAACACCGTTGGGTACGAGGATCGACTCGTTTTATACTCACCCCCTAAAGTTTTGGCCGCTTGTACAGATTCACTCTGTATAAATTTAAATTGATTTCTTTGAAATATTTCTGTGAAACGAAGCTCTAAGTCTGGAAATGTACTTGCTTAAAAATGCATTTCAATAATTAACAATTCACCAAATTTCTCTAAAAACACGTGTTAAAATTGTTTATCAAAATTGTTCTGTTCTCAAAGCAAATTATTTGAGGCAATCATACGTCTAGTCCCATTTAATATAACAAATATAAAAACCACTTAAATAGTAAGTATACTTAATTCGCGAGGTGGTTTCACGAAACGTGACGTCACTGTCTTCTAAACATCTAAAGCAGATATCTTTCAAAAGGAATCGTCAATTGTTGAGTGGTAATATTTCTCATTGGTTTGCGTGTATATAATTCAAGAGTTACGTTAAGTATTATATTAAAAATTTCATATAGATTAAGAGAAATAAAAAATTTGGTTTAGGTTTCTAGCCACAAGAAGTAAGTTAATAATTTTTCTTTTACGTTTTAAAACAGTACCAGAAAATTTTAATTTTAGTTTTTAAAATTTACGAAGTCATAATCCAAGCAGCAGTGTTATTTAAAAATTTAAATAGTAAACTCGTACGAGTCCACAAAACTCCTTGCTCGCCCCCCTTTTTGTAACAATTCATCGTAGACATATATTTAATTAAAAGCGTACTACTTACGTATTATCTCGTCGACCATGAAACTGTCGCCAAGCTGCGTAATTTAGAGCCAGTTATAGGTAACCGTGACATAACAACACACTTATATCATCTGCACTTTCTTCTGATGTAACCCCGATTAATTCCTAATGAGTTTCGTTTTGTTTTCACGAACAAGGCCATAAATTAACTGTTATTGATGTATTTTTTCCACTCATCTTGAAAAAACAATTATTAAAATTTGGCACCTGCCTTCTACAGAATAACAAACAGCAGTTATTTTCAAAGTTATGCGCTTTTACTATCAAAACAAAATATGTATCTATTAATGGACACGAACAAAGCAAGTCCAATACTGGTTGTTCATTAAATAAAGAGGTGACATTCTTTGAGATGATACCAAAGAGATACAGAGAGATACCAAGTTGTGTCGGGGAGCTATTGACACAACTTGGTATCTTTTTGGTATTGTCTAACTCTCATGGTTCAATGGTAGCCAAGTTTCAGAGTCGTTGGGCTAATATATAAGTACTAAAAATGTTTTAAAATGACACAATGATTAGTATTTTAGTACCTTTTTATTTAAAAAGAAAGTGACTTTTTTGTAAAATGCAAAATTTAACTTTCTATATGATTTCTTGGCTTTATATTTGGGAACTTTTTATGAACATTATTAAAAAGTTTAACATACGTATAACAAAAATTAAACGAGATATTTAATTTCAAAATTTGCGATTTTTGACATCATTTACAGTAGCCTTCGAGGGTTCATTAATAAATTTATTAGTATAAATCAAGCTTGATTTTTCTTCTTAAATATCATTTAAATATATTCTTTTGTGATTTACATATAGCAGTGTTTAATTTATGATTATTTACAAATGGTACATCAAAAGAATTTTATCCCAAATGATTTATAAGATTTCAAAAGCTAAACTACATTATGAATATTTCTGTGAAGTTTTATTACTTTAAAATCCCAATCTAATATTCTTACAAAAAACTCATCACACTAGAAATATTTTTCTATTTTAATTTATGCAAATAAAGTTACGAGTTGGCTGTACGAAGCATAATATTGTTGAGCAAAAATAAGTATTATTTTTATTCTTTTAATGCATTTCTAAGCAATACTTATTTTTTAAGCTATACGCTCTCAGAAAATTGATGCAAGGAGATTTGATCAACCCCAAGGCTCCTTTGGGCAACAACTACAGACCTTCACAAGTGGTACACCACAGAGTGGTTCGAACCAACATAGATTTCAATCGCTCTTCTGTAAGTAAATATAAACATTTTGTTTACATTTTATTCTGCCTAAAAGTGATTTTACTATCATATCGAGATAATTTATATTTGTTGTCGCCGAAAAATATCTGCCAGCTTATTAGAAAGTATGTGATTGTCACCAATTGTCACCAAGCTTTTTGAAAGAATGTTGTAATGGTAGTTAACATCCACTGTCTCAAAGCAACGTATTTGAAATAATGGCAACGTATTTGAAATAATGTACTTTGCAACATTATAAATCACGTCATGCTAAGCATAATATTATGCGAATGAAACTGTACTAACGTTACATGGCTTCATTCTGTGAAATTAATTTGTGATATATCTGCCACAGCATAGTGCGGTTATCTACAAAAGTGACCCCGTGAGGTCGTTTTTTGGTTAACAACTAAGTTAACCAAATTTATGATCATTGACTAATTTCCAAATTTGTATGTATTTACAAGGAATTTTTCGATTACGATTACGAAGTTTTACAAGCATAAGGTAGTTAATAACGATTGTTTCAAAACAAAGTAAGCGATACTTACAGTGTAATATCACTTACAATATTATAAATGACATGACGTGAATAAAGTAATGCTAACATAATATGGCTCAATTTTTTAGAAAGAACTATCATGGCATATTCATTCTTTGAAATGAAGGTTTCTAGCGTATTCATTCTAAATAGCAAAAACTAAACTCGGCAGCACAAACAGCCCTTAGAGAGCCATGATTGGCAGTGCTCTGATATCTGCATTTTAGACCTTAGGCTCCGGGGTGCTTGTGCATTTTAGCCTGGACAAATGGTCAAACGTGTCGCAGAACCCCCCGGTGTTTAGTCCCCAAGCGAACTTGGTACTCATATTCATTCTGTGGAATGAATTTTTATATCAGCCGTAATGCAGTAAAATTTTTGGGCCGATTCATTCTGTGGAATGAAGTAAAGGATGCCCATTCTATGGAATTAATCTAAAGAATGTATCAGCGTATCATCTAAAGAAGACGCATATATTTTTGGAATGAATTTCTTTCGGGGGTTAGGTGGCCGATTTATTCTGTGGAATGAAGTGAGGAATATGGATCCATTCTATGAAATGAATCAGAACAATCTATCTGGTTTGGGAATAATTTTTATATGAGCCATAACATAGTGGAATTCTGTGGTCTATACATTCTGTGCAATGAAGTACACAATGTTCCCCATTCATTCTATGGGAATGAATCAGAAGAATGCCTCTATTTTGTGGAATAGTTTCCTATATCAGCCATAACACATCAGGATTCTTTGACCTATACACTCCGTGGAATGAAATAAAGAATGTCCATCCATTCTATGGAATGAATCTAAACGCCATCAAAGGAATGCCCATTCATTCCATGAAAATAAATTACATGTAATGTAATTTAAATTAAGAAAGTGCTGCAACCATTCAGGTCGATGATAATCGGCCTCATGATTAATGCAGCACTCCCGACGCAGATTAAAACAAAACTGCTGTTACGAGGGCGATCCCCAAAAAAAAGGTCTCCTATATTTTTAGATATACAAAGAATCGTTTATTTTCTATAATTGCTACATCACTTTAAAGATTGAAGAATGCTTTATTTTTTAACATAATCGCCATTTCGGTCGATGCATTTTTGTAGACGCTGTGGCAGTTTTACAATGCCCATGTCATACCAGTTTACCGCCATGCCCTTCAAGAAGCGTGAATCGAGTCCAAGAAGTTCTCCTTTTCGTCTCTATAGCGGCGAAGAAATTCGCGGGAAGAATCGACCCGTTGCCGTTTGTGGTCTTCTGTCAGCATACGCGGCACCCATCTTGCACACACCTTCCAATATTGCAACTTTTCCGTTAAAATCCTGTGGATGGTGCTTCTGGAAACCTCAGGAACCAAAACGCAGAGAGCATCCAGAGCGATCCTCCGATCTTTACGCATGAGTTCCTCAACTTTCGCGATTGTCTCGTCGGCAATTGACGGCCTCCCGCTCCTTTCTTCGTCATGAATTTCAGTACGACCTGCTGTAAACTCTCTACACTCTACTCTCTACACCACTTGCGAACGTTTTTGACATACATGCACGACTGTCCATACACTTCTGTCAATAGGCGGTGAATTTCAACCGGTTTAACGCTTTTTGCGTTCAAAAATTGAATAACTGCGCGCACTTCGCACTTGGCGGTAACGTTTATCGGGAGCTCCACTTCGAATGGCTGCCAAGCCAAGTCTGAGCGTCCGAGCGAAGCGCCTGCTTGCTTATGTGGCAGCGGAGAAGCCACCACTCACAACAGTGTTGCCAACAACCGTATTAAAACTTTCTGTACGTCCCCAAAAAATAGGAGACTTTTTTTGGGATTGCCCTCGTAAAACCATCAAATCAAAATTCTCGATATGCTGTTGCCATTTATAAAGTTCATCAAATCCTTTGCAAATCAAAACTCTTTTCAGCGGCAATAGGATTCCTTTACGTTGCCATGTTTTCCTTAACATGTCACAATAATATGCATTCTTTGATGAAACTCCGTGCATTGCCTCCAGCATTGCAGAAATTACACAGACTATTATTTTGCAAAATAAATCTTTTCAGGTGAGCTGGGAAAAGCCTATCGCTAGTAATTATTTGATAATAATCAAAATCGCATATCATTCTCATGTTTTTGAACCTCCAAAGTTCAACAAATAACCTTTCTTTCTTCCGAAATATTTTCCTGAAATGTCTTATGAGTTAGCATATTGTGCGGTTGTTACCAGAGTTACATCTTTTTTGCGGTCCGCCTTTTGGGTACCTGTAGTATCGATATTGACCGAATTTCCAAATTTATGTATGTTTTCATAATTTTAATCAGCTCAGTACTATAATAATCAACTCAGTACTGTATATTGAATAACAAATCAACTCAGTACTGTATTGACGCAAAGGTTATTTAAAAACAATGTTATAAAAGTCTTGAACAAATCAATGTTTATTATTCCCTCCGGCAATCCTAAATATTGGTACACGTGACAAGGTCCCAAGGTTCCAAGACATAACTTAAGCGCTAGCCTCTACAGTTCAGTAGCTACCTTCACTAGCCTACGATATCATTTCTTTCGATGACAATGAAATATGTCTTGTAAAATTATCTGTCTGACTGCATTGTTAAATATGTCGCTCCATGGCTGTTTTATGACATAAATGATTATACAATATTTTCTGTTATACTGCGCTAAAGTGGATAAAAACAGTAATTGTCATATCGTCAGCTTGGCTAATATTAAGTGACAAATTACAATTAATAATGTTACGAATATGTACTACGAAATATCATTTATGCTGTTGCGTTCGTTCTACAGGTGTATTTGGAGTGATTGAGAACAACACTTGATGAAGAATCGAAATGCAATTTATTCGTCTGATTACACACGGCGATTCCAAAGACACATTTGCAGTTTTCGATAAACTACAGTAAACATACTAATTCAGAAGTCAAACAATAAAAATCAGCGTTATATTTCCAAATTTTCACAGGACTAGTTTCGATGGTTTTACGAACCACTATCCTCAGCTGCAAAAGCGCAAATGAACGAGATAATATATAATTATTAGATAATATAAGAAAGCCTGGACATGAGATAAGCCACTGGCGCCATCTGTTGATGAAACCAGAGGATGGTGGTTCGGTAAGACCATCGAAACTAGTCCTGTGAAAGTTTGAATAGATAACGCTGATTTTTGTTGTTTGACTTTTGAATTAGTATTTGTTTGTCGTGTTATTGTGTCTTAATTACAGTAAACATGCTGAAATAATCAACAACACAGCCTTCAGGCTACAACGTTGACGACAGCTTCACGGCAAAGCACTGAAATAGAGCTCTGGACTCAATCAATCGCTCTCGAACCAATCTCTGAACTCAAGACACTGCTATTGAATTCAACACACTCTTCTACTCCGCGTGCAGGCTGGATGTATATAGCTTCTGACCTACCTTCAAGAACATTCTCGAAGAAAGCGCTAAGAATTCGTTCTAAAATGTTCTCCCTCCGTCCATGGCATATCGCCAGTTTTGTCGCCAAATAGGCGATTTCGAGCCAAATATGGCAACCCTGCCGTTCCTTGTCACTTTCTGGCATCCCTAAACCCGCTTTGCGGGGAAGCTATCTTACCGCGGCTGGACATTTCATAACAATACTATTATTATGATGTCATTTTTTTTTCTGATTTCAAGTTTTCACGTGAAATTAAATTTTATGCCAATTGTCAATAAGGGTAAAGAATAATTAGCCATTTCTTCCATCGTCATAAAGTTGCTGAGGACCTCGAAATATGCCTGAAACACTTCAGCAGTTAAAAAATATTTACAAAAAAAATTAGAATTCCTACGCCAAAACAAGCCATTCGCCATCGGGCAGGAAGACAGGTTTTTCGGCGCACAAAAGTCTACTTTTGGTCCCACTCCGCAGAAAGATGCTGAAGTTGGTGCACAAACAAACTTAATTCACTATTCTATTGTTTCAAATGTAAACAAATAGCGGCTTCGTTAGACTTAGCCCCATTTAGAATTTTAAATTGTTTATAATTCTACAACTATTGCATGCAGATTAACTAAAAGCATAAAACCTTAACCAGAATATAAGAACAATGTAATTCAATCATTTTCAAAGCAAAAAGTGCACAATTTACCAACATATGAGCACAAAAAAAAAACTGTGTTCAACATGTCGGGTAACAGAGTGGGTATATTATAAACATTTGGTGCCACCGATTGCAATCAAACAGGGAGGTGCACAACTACATGTTATAATAACCCCCCCCCCCAAATTTCAATGTTCTTAGGATACTCGTTTTTGAGTTATGCGAAATACATTCGAAGGCACTGCACACTTTTACCTCTCCTGCTTTAAAAAAATATTAACGACGCTACAATATGTATAAGATAAATAAATTTCAAAATCCCATTTATAACGGTAAAACGTCTTTCGTACTGCACATTGTTAAACTGCTTTATAAACTAGCGTTTTCG